TCGCCGCTCCAGCCCGAGGCGGCGCTGCGGCCGCCGGGCCGAGCCCAGGGCTCCCCCCAGGGCCTCCGGGAGCCGCGGGGCCGGGGAAGGAGGGCGAGAGATCGGGGTGTGAGGGGCACGGCTGCTGCTCCCCCGGGCAGGGGCCGCTGAGCGGCAGCGGAATGGGAGCCCTGGTAAGTAGGAGGCGACACATCCCCAGCCCGGGAGCAGCACCCTGGGCCTTGCAAAGCAAAAACTTGCGAAAGCAGAGAGCCGTCTTTGCTTCGACGATCACACTGCCCCGTGCAGCTCCCCAGGGTGGGAAAGGGTCTTTTGGCTTTCAGCCGCCGCACTGAACGCTCATTAATGGACCGAGGACACGAACCGGGCTGAAATCCACCGCAGGGCTGCTGGCACCATCCTGTGACCTCTCTGTACATGCCAGGAACGAGACCTGAACGAGGGGAGTCTTCGTTGTGACAGGAACGTGACAAGGCCAGTCTGTGGTAACATAAAGTCAAGCATTCTTCATGCCACATCTTGTGGAAAAATGATAAATCCGGGGCTCCTGACACAAGAACAATACAGATGCATTGCCTTATGTCCTGCATCAGGCTTTAAATGAGGCACTGGAGTTTAGGTCTCCATAAGTTTCCTCTGAGTGAGCAGAACAGGGAGGCAGGTGAAATTCATATTAATCTCCACACAAACTCTGCACTGTAATAAAATAATTCTCAGAATGGAAATGGATTTTTTCTACTTAAGTGTTTTCATTTCTGTGTTTGTTCTCTGAATAGATTTATATGTTCTTTACTTCATGCCTTCACAGTTTCAGTCTCTTCTGCAGGCTTCAACTTGCACTTTTCCACCAACCAAGAGCTTAGAAAATTACAGTAGAGCTCAACACATATACTCCTGCAGCCAGATGAAAACAATGCACTTTTTTAATATTAAAACTTGTATTGATAAGGGAACAAAAAGAACAGGCCGTACTAACACTCAGTGTGAATTTGGTTTCAAACTATTCTTTAAAACAATAGCAGCAAAGAATGATTGATCATCTATTTATATTGGGAGAACATTAAACTGCCAGCTAAAAAGCACTTGCTGGCCTAGCCCAGATGTAAACAGCTTGAGTGTATTCTAAAACCCCATATGAAATAGTTTGTGCTAGTGCATCAAAATATTTATGTGATACTTACGTGTACTCTATTTATTGTTATACTAGATTTTTTTTAAACTGCAGAACCCGTGCCTGTCATTCACTCTGCTCTATTGATTGGTAAAAGCTACAAAGATAACAGTTTCAGCTGGTTAGAAACTGATTTATTTATAAATCTGTCATTATTTATTTATAGACTGAGGAGATAGGCCAAGATCCTACGAAGCTAACTGCAGCTGATGAAATGATACACCATATATAAAATTAAGCACATATGTTCCATATCAAACAAGGTTCTCGTCTTGAGCACTTCATGCTCCAAGGCTTCTGACATAAAGGTGCCTTAAAGCATAGTGGTGAGTGCTAGAGAAAGGAAGAAATTCTAAGGGGTCACTGGAATTTCTGTGGTTTCAGAGTCTTTCAGTAGGAAAGGCAAATTTAATCCTAGGATATACCGGCTGAAGGATTTCCAGTGGAGATATATAGAAAAGCAGAAAGCGTAAGATCTGATCAGAAATGTCATACTCAGCTTATTCAGAAAGTACATTTATGAAAAGTGAGAGCAGGTGCAGGAGTGTTAAAGGTAATGAAGAGTCAGTCTTATGAAAAGAGCTTTGCCTAGCAAAACAATGACTAAGAGATAAAAAATATTGTTGTTTATAAACATCAGTATGGTAAACACAGGGTGTGTAGCCAAAATGATAAGCCTTTATGAAAGTCATTAAAATTTGACATGAAGCTGAAATTATCTCCTTTTTCTTTGGCTTTCCAAATAGATACATGTCATATTGCTGTGTTTATAGTTATTTTATATTTTTGTTTTCTTAGGCAGAAGGTATTGCAACACTGGAAATTTTCCAGAGTGCCTGTGGAGATACTCTTGGACTAGCTAACATGCTAGAGGTCCATTAATAGCACTATCACAGGAGTCTTACTCCCAGATGTGAGACATGAAAAGAGAACCTGGGCAAGTGTCCTTCCTACTGTGCTAAATTCTAATAACCTTTTGGAGGTGTGCAATGTGATAATCATGCATGGGGAAGGAGGCTGGGGTATGAGAATGAACTTTGGTTCATGGTTCTTTGGCTTCTGCTGTCATAGCAACTGGATACAAAACTGTCAGTCTCATAGTAAAAGATTAAAATTTGCCTACCCAAAGAAGCAAAGTGGTGGGCGTTGTTCTGTTTCAAGAGTGAGTGTTGATATGTGTAGTTTGGACGGGCTTTGAAGCCATCAACAGTACATTGAGATAATATTTTGGTATTTTATCTTCATTTGCAGGAATATCAATTAGACTGTGTCATGACTGCACTCTTGCACATACATTCATACCTTTCTGTTACTACAGTGGGATTCTTCTCAATACTACCAAAAGTTCAGGTTCCAGCCTCAGCTCATCATACCCTACCTCTGTGGTGCTCAGGTACCTATCACTCCAAACCACCTCTTTCTAGGAAAAGTGGCATAATTTTTTTTATTATTATTTATTTAATTAATTTATTTATTATGTATTTCATTTATTTATGTCTTCATTTTCTTTGTTAATTCCAGTGAGACGAAGCACTGATACCTACCTTTGACTAGGGGACTGTGTTCCAGATGACTGAAGTCAGGTGAAGTAAAACCCATTTGAATGTGACAAAGGTACATGTAAGCACTGAATGAGAACAGACAGCCAGAGACAGCAAACCAACATGTACTCAGCATCCTAGTAACAAATAATAATTGAACATGAACATTCCTAATCTTAAAGTAGGAACCTGACATCAGTTCCTGGCTGAATTCTTACCTGGCTTTTTGCTTTTTTTTTTTTTTTTCCTTTAGAATAGCACAGTAAATATAGCTTTTTGAGGATGCTTTGTCACCATGTACTATTGCCTTTTTATTATCCCTGGCCAGAGTAATCAAATTAGGACACTTAATACTAATGCTTTGTATAATCATAGATATCCTTGTGTAGACTGTGGATCAGTAAAAGCCTTTACTTCATATAGTATGGCAGTTTCATAGACATTTTTAGATAAGGGAATCTGTGTCATTTTATCATGCTCCCTGTTCTGAAGGAAATGGCTGACGTATGTAATGCAGACAGGAATGTTATTCTATCTAAACTTTAAAACCAAGTAATCTGAAAAACAGGAATGTTATTCTATCTAAACTTTAAAACCAAGTAATCTGAAAAACCATTCACTGTAAAGACTTAATGTTTTTGAAAACCCTGTTGTTTTGGTCCTAGAGAATCTGCTATGAAGATGCATTGTATATATCTTTACAACTGACATGAAGGAACACTTATTTTTTTGTTCCTGAGTTCTAAGGTTTTTATTTTTTTCTTTTGAGGTACTAAATAATCCCCAGAAAAAGATTCTTTGGGATTTCCTGGATACCACACAGCACAGACTTCTAGCCCTGCAGCTGGACCAATAGTCTCTCTTATCATTTAAAAGATGCATCAGATTTGATCCCAGATAATTTAAATGAAGACAGGTAGAATCCTAAACCAAACACATAATATTTAATACTTCTGTAGGTCTCACAAGTTTTTCTCTCAGTGAATTAAAAACTCATCACCGTAATTTTTTTAAGACTAGTCAAGTAGGGTTTTTAATGATTTGGAATCTTTTAAAAGATACTTTAAAGTGCTGTGTCTCATCTTCAAAATGGTTTAAAATTCATCAAGTTGGAATGATTTTTTTTAGATAAGAGCTGAAGTTTCTCTGACTTTCCTGCAGTGCTTGATGTTACTCATATCCAAATGGCAACAATGTGTAGAGAAATGTGATAATAAAATCCATTGAGTAAGGAGGTGTTAATACATAGCTGGTGATGCAAAGTTTTAAAGGAAGCTATTTTGTCATTGTGATCTGCTACTTACTGAATGTTATTTCTAAAATATTTGGTTATGATTCTGTCATGTAGTAAGTCCTGCAATACTCTGGGTACTTGTATTTTAAACTGTTACATGCTTTTCTTTCAGCCTTAAGCCTTTGAAACATGCGATTTTTAGAATCCATTTCTATATCGTGGTGCTCACGATATATTGTATAGTATAGTGCAACATTATACAATTCCATATAAAAGAATTGTAATCATTAAAGATTTTCTCCATGTCTACATTTACAGCATTATCAAGAAGTCCCTCTGCTTGCGTTGAATCTATGCACCAGCTTCTACATGTCAGTTTTAGCATCTGTGTCAAATAGAGTTTTTCCAGTTTTATAATTGACCCATAGAGACTGTTAAGCCCTGCATGTTTTAAATTTTGCTGAATAATTTAGTGTGGTGGACATGGTATGTCACATAAAGTGCAAAATTAATTCATAGATAGAAAATTCAGATAGCAGATAAGATTTTCGTTCTCGCCAATTAAGAAACAAATCTAGAAGCCTAAAGGATACTGAATTGCACAGAACAATATAAGCAAGAATATTTCAAGTGATGTAACAATTCTGCTGAAGCCATGCACATGTAGTCAAACCTACATAAGCTGTTATCAAGACAGTTAACCAAAACTACTGGTTGCTATTATGAACTGAAAACTTCTGCAGTATATTGAACCTGTATCATTAAAAAAACATCATTAAATAGAATATTTGCCAATGCTGCAATGTGCAGAAGAGATCAGATAAGGAAGAGGACCTTAGACAACATGAAGGGAGTAACACTTCCTACTTCAATGAATAAGACAATGTTAATGCATTAGTTATTTTAAAATGAAATTATCTTTATTAAAAAGGATTCACTTTTCTGGAATGGGTATGTATGAAATATTTAAATCAGAATATGGAAGGAACTGTTATCTATAGTTGCTCTTTTACTGACAAATGGACTCAATTCAAGAAAATCTTAGACATGGTTATAATCAGCCCTATGTGTGGCTTCACTTAGTCCAAACTATAACTTGAAGCAATCACAAAGTTAAGCACGTGTTTAAGTGTTGGTTGAATAACTATGACTTCACAAATCATAAGAAAATATATAGACATGAATCAGAAAAAAAGAAATTTGAAATTTATTTAGAATAAAAGGAAAATTGAGGAAAAGTAAAACCTCATCTACCCTCTTTCTCAAAATCAATCCTGATTCTGCCATCAGGGCTTTTTTCATTCTTTAGCCAAAACTGACTGCAGAATGAAAATTTTGTGGCAACTTCAGAGAAAGTGATCAAAGTATGCATTTCTAAATTAACAAAATGTTTAAAAGCAGGACTACCACTGAATTTTTCTAGTATTTTCTGTGATTAAAATGATCAAATATGTGTTGAGTTTTAAAAATCAGAGGCACATTCAATTTTTTATTAAGATATCATCAAAACCAAGGATAAGATTGAATTGTGTTGGGGTAGGAAGCCTTTGGTTTCGTGTATAGTCTGAAGTTTAAAATACTTATTATTATTCCCAGTAGCAGATTCTTATATTAGTTATGTATTAAAAAATTTGCCAGCTCATCTGTTTATGAACACAAAGTATTTGTTTTGTTTTCCGTGTTAGAATGAGACATTATGGTGAAACTCAAGAAATACTGTAAACTTTTGTTCTGTGTATTTTCTGGGAAGTATATGCAAACATTGAAGCAAAGAGGGAAAAATCAATTTCACAGGTGCAAAATAGCTTACAGTCAGAGGAGAGAGAGAGAGAGAAAATAAAAAGAAGCAAAAAAAAGAGATTTTCACAATGAACAGAAACTTCACAGACACAGCATTTGTATCTGGGTGCCAAAACCTAGTTTTCTCAGTCCATATTTAGGCACTTGAACATAGCTGGCCTACTTGTCAGTAATACTAAACATTCACAAATGAAAAAGAGTTGATTTTAAAAGTTTAAGTACTTTTAAAAACCAAGCAAAGCAAAGTTTATACAAAGTTGCCTGAGTATCTGAGGAGACAAGCATTGGCACGTAGTCTTAAAATTTCCAGCCTGTTGTTTGAAAGATCACACCCCCCATATTTTATCCACTATTGCAGGTTTAATACAATTAGGCCTGTGAATTATATATATATGTATATATAATATATTATATTATATATATATATATCTCAGACAGTGAGGAATTACTCTTAGCTGAAGTAAGTTACAGCACACTGCAGCTGCTCTTCCTGACTGTAGCATCAGCAGAACAGCCAGTCTGTGTATCGGGGTTGTTCTCAGTGTAAATCTGTGTTTGCAAGGTGTGTACAGGCAACTATTTCATGTGGCTTGCATTAAGAATGTTTTTTCCAGACAGAAGAGAAGACTGCAAATCGGTCTGTAGTCTAAAGTACAGTAAGATAGTTACTTGGTCAGCATACAGTGTAACATGATAAGGAGGTTTGGCTGCTCAAGACACTTCTGTTTATTCAGGTGACTGCTGGTGACTGTCACTAAGGATTTTGATTTTTTGTTCAGCTCTGTAGTGCTTCTAGAACAGAAAATGAGTCCCTAATGTATCCTAACAATAAATACTGGATAGTAACTATCTTGAGAATATGGTATGTGGAAAGACCAGTGAGGACTGCAAAGCTGAAAGGGACAAAAACATGCCATAAAGTTCACATAATTTTCTTAGGAAAGCACGTGCAATTTTTAGAAATGTACTACAGTTGATGAAAGGTATCCTGTAAACACAGCACATTTAGAAAACTATTTACCTACTACAGTGCACTAGCCTAATGCTTTCAGTTAGGAGGAAATAGAAAACCAGCCTTCCAGTCCCCATCAGCAAGTGGCCTGTGATGTGCCTGAGTAACCTGCATGCAAAGGCTCTTGTGCTGTGTTTTCTGCTAACAGAAATCTGTTTGCCCAGATCATTAAGAAACATCAAGAGAGCTTCACACCTGTACTCGCTTCTTTGGCAACCAGTTCTAGTCTGGGTGAAATTTATAACCTGTTTTGTCTCCGTGCTCATTATCTCAGACCTGTGTTACCCTTCCCTTTGCTGTGCCCTGACGTTGAAAGCAAAGAGATGGGCTGCAGAGCATTCCCCAGGGCAGGCTGTTTCAGCCTGGATCATGCACCTTGATCACACAAATGGACATGCACACCTTCTGGAGTCAAAAGGGAGTCAAAGAGCCAACACACAGCATAAGAACCAGCAGTCTGTGCAGATCAGCTTACAGGGTAGAGACATTTTAGAGCACAATGCAAGATCACTTTCTTTGTGCTCCCCAGTAGAAACAGTCTTTAGAATTCACTGACATTTAATCATGTGCCTCGTATCACTTCTTTTCAGAGCAGCTATTTTGGTGCTATGTGGGGGTTGTCACAGAAATGGTTGCCTAATTCTGATCTAAATTTTGTAATGTGCACCCAGATCTTCTACAGATAAGCATTTTACATCCAAATGAAATAATAATAAAGGAATTCAAAGTGATTCCATTTCATGAAAGAGATGTAACATGCTTAGCAGATATTCCTAGCTCTTGCAAAAAGGAAACATAGCACAGTTTTCACAAAGCCAGTGGGAAAACTGTTCCCACTGCCCAACCTATCGCTTTAGTTTCTGTAGCTGCAGGTGAAAGGAATTTTAGTCAAATTCAAGAAATCAGGACTTGTTCCATGTAAACATAAGGCATTGGTACTTTCAAATCACTTCTGGCCTCATAAAATGGCTGGGGTTCAGAGCTATGTTGGAGCTTAGCAGCCAGAATAATATCAGTGAAAGTGTCA